TTAATGAGATACTTTTTGATGTTTTTCATTCATTCGTAACACTAATAAACAACTTTTTCGCTAAGAAAATTGATTTTTATTCGATACTTCACACGCAAAAAACAATGGTTTAAAGTTCGATTTTTCTCAGATTTAATAAATATCTATGAATATTTTATCTAAGTATACTTTATCCTTATATATTTATAAGAAATTTCGGATCACTGACTAAGATATTCATAGTTAAAAATATACTTTTTGCGCTTTTTTAATCTTTATAACATGATCGAAGTTCACTTAATCATAATGTATCTTATAAACAATCTTGAAAGTATTTATAATATAATTTGGGTTTAAAATATTAAACGTGAATTTTTCTTTAAATATTTAAAGTAAAAATAATTTAAATTCAGCAGTATCAGTTACAAAGGAAATTTATTTTTTAAAAATTAAGCAATTTTTATGACTTAAACTTTATTTAGTTTCATAAATATTAATCTTGTTTATTATATTTTGCAATTAATAATAATTAATAAATGTTTTTTATATTTTTTTAATGGTATTTTTTAGTTTAGTAAATATATGGAAAATAAGAAAAACTGTTAAATATTCATGTTATTCATCTTTTAAATTTATAATTTGTTTAATATTACAATAAAGTAGTTTATTACATAAATTGATGTATTAATAAAATTTTTAATCTTTTAATTTTAAAAAATTTCATAATCTTGTTAATGAGCTTCTTACATTTTTTTTTCTGTAGAATTTTTAAATATAAAAGAATATAAATTAAAATACAAATTCAATTTATATGTTGTAAAATTGTATATCCTTGTACCTAAATGTATATATAAGAAAGAGGATTATAGAATATTTCCAAAAATTATATTATTAAAAATAGCACATTTAAAATATATAATATATAGGACAATGACCTAACATTTTATAATGTAACTGTATAATTGTAATGGCCTAACATTTTATAATTATTAACTATATAATTATACATAATTTTGTAGATTTTGAATTTTAAGTAATATTTAAATAATGTAGAATTTTACACAATTTTACAGAAAATTAACTGTTTTAAAAATATATATAGTATAATATTTTAAAATATTTTATAATTGTATTTACTGGACATATCACATTATATATTATCTGTAACGATTTTATACTCAATAGAAGCATATAAATATTCATAAAATTATATATCTAACACTATAAAATTACTTAAATATTAATCAAGTTTAATTTCAAAAGTGAAAAATATAGCACATAATTTTTGAACTTTGAAAACTTATAAAAAATTTACATTAAAATGTATATAAATTTTCTCATTTTAATATTTTTACTTGTAAGTAAACAGATCTATATATACATACATTACATATAATTTTATTTATTAAAGTATAAATAAATAGAATGATATATTAACATTTAAATTTTTATTATAGATTTTTCTGTTTTGCAAGTTTTCCTCCCTTAAAAGCGTCGTTAAAAAATAAATATATATTTATAAATGTATAAATATATGGCTTTCGTTTATGTTTTGACACGAATTAGTGATGTGTTAGTATCGATACGAAGCGTGTTACAGTTGCATGTCGTGAAATACATCTGAAGTGACAACATCATTCATACAGACCACTATATGTTAATATTTGATGATCATCTTCATTAAAATTAATGTACAAGCAATTCTTAAAATAATTGCTTCCATAAACACTTCTAGAGTTAGAAAATATGAATCCTTTGCCTTCCTTCTCTTACTACAGCATATATTAATTTTAATTAATAATTAGGTGAGGTAATTTTTAAATATTTTAAAAATGTTTATAGGTCATGATTTTTCGGAGAATTTGCTAAAGAAACAACGAGCAACAAATCGAGAAAATCGTGAAAATGTTTTATTATACACGAAATAAAAAAGGATGGAAAATGGCCCCCGGCCCGAGGGACCACTTTGAGTTTCTTTCTACCAAACTTGCATAGGGAAAAAAGGGAAAAAAATCGATAACTCTCTTTAAATTCTCAAAAAATCTATTGTCATTGACAAAAATAGTTACTAAAAATAAATCTGGTAGCTTGAAAAGATTTACTGCCAACTCATAAGAAGAAATTATAAAAGGCGTGCTTTGAAATATATTTATTGCTTCATTTGCGTAAAATTATCGCGGAAAACATTCTGAGTTAGCATTTAAATTAAAAAATAAAGTAAAATAAATAAATTTAAGAATTTTTAGTTTAATAGAATTTAATTTTCTTCTTTATTTTACAATTTTTTATCATCGCACTGATATAATAAAAATTATATTTCGAAACTAATTTTGACATTTATAATTATTTGCAAAGTAATCGTTTTATGTAAAAATCGTGACACTTTTCTTGCTTAATCTCATTACTTTCTTTTTTTGTTTTGTTTCTTTTTTTCTATTTATTTTTGTAATTTTTAAATATTACTTAATCGAAAGTTGGTTAACGGGGAAAGACCCTTAAGTAGATCAATGGCAAGCGGATATCAATACCGTATATCGATTTTTAATAAATGAAAGTTATTAATGATCTTTAACGCATAGAAATTATTCGAAAAATTTTTATTACGACAGTTTCGCTTTACGAATTACGAAAGTCAACGAGGAAGCGAAAAAAAATAAAATAAAATAATGGAGTGTAAAAAAAAGCGCTTAAACTGATTCACCGCTAGATGGCCAACAGTAGCCGATAAATCGCATTGACCACACCCTGTTTCCATAGCGACGCGAGAGGAGTCGATTACCATTTATCGTAGGGGAGTGTCGGTAGGACGGGATGAGATGTAATCGGAGAAAAAGATAAGAAGGATAAAGATCGTTCCAAGGAAGGATGGGCGTGTTTTTATCTAAATCCAGAATCTATTCTAAGATACGTGATGAGTATCGGCCAAAGGAAATCGAAAGTTTCACATGATTTATTATATTTGCCAGTATATAATGGGAAACTAATTTGAGAACATAAATTTTATCCATAGTTTATAAAAAAAATTGCTTGAAAATAAATCATTTAAAAAATTTCTAATAGTTATTTTATGCTAATCTAAATATTTAAAAAAAATTCAGGAATATGAAACTAAGAGTATAAATATTCTAATATGAAGTAAGAATGAGGCGTATGAGTGATGCACTTACAGTATGAAATCATATGCTACCAGATGGCAAAATGAAGAGGAATTCCACTTTGAATAATAGGCAGAATTTAAGCTGTAACACATTTATAACATTTTTGCAGCAGGTGTTTCACATTTTCGAAACGTTTGAAGGCCAAATTTAAGGTGTAGAGTTGTCTACCTGTAGATTTACTTAATACATTTACGGGTGGAAGCGAAATAACATAAAGGAAAATAATTATTTTATTTTAATCTGATCGATTTTTCTCTGCGACAAGTCAAAATTTAACTTATTTTTACTTTACAGATATCATCGCAAGTTGAATGTTAGCCTTCTTTTAATGTATTTAATGAGATACTTTTTGATGTTAAAAATATCTTTTTAAGCGTTTTACCAATGATTTTCCATTATATTTTGACTAGAAAAATATGTAATATGAAAATCTAACTACACTAAAATTATTAAGTGAGAAAAACACAGTTGGAAGTTTTCCAAATCCACATTTATAGATCTGAAAATTGTTTCAAGTGTAAAATTTTTTTTTTGTTTTTAGGAAATTTTATTTTATAATTAATAATTAAAATATTTTATATACAAATAAAACGTTTTTTT